CTTTTGTAGTCTGGGAGACAAGGGGGAAACCACAAGGAAGAACAAGGCACTATGGGAAAGCTGAAAAGGATGGAAAGCCAAAAAGAATGGAGATTAATACAGGAGAAAGGTTAGAAACCAAGACAAAGATCACAAAGAGATATTGAATATTTTTCTATCTCTGTATTGCAAGAATATGTCTGTTGCAACCTCCCTAGAATGTTTATGCAGAGCTTTGTGGTGAAGCAGCAGTAAATTGCTCCTTTGGATGGTAAGTGCAAAATTAAAGCTGGCAGGGTCTCAGAGCACAAGACTGGGAAGCTAATTGCTCCTAATAACATATCGATTTTCACAGCTCTCTGGCATTATGTCAGGGCAGTTTTGAACTAGCACCTGATTTCTTCCTCTTTCCATCTCCAAGCGAATAGCGGTGAAGCTTCTGGCTTTGAGATCTGATAAATGCAACTCTAGATCTTTTTGTCTACACTGCAGGTCCCTGCAACATGGGTGAAATCTTTTGTGCTGCACATTGCTCCAAATATAATGGCTACCCTGAAACTAGACAGGTGGAAGGAATGTGCATATATTTTAACTTGAATAACTGTGTGCTTATATTTTAACTTGATTAACTAACTACTGCTTGTATTTATGGTGCTGTACAGAAGTGTTACAATCCCTTTGCTGCAGTTGACTAAAGACAATCAAATGGATGCCTGTTTTCAGGCAAAAGTTGCCAGCACAGGAGAACTGAGGTCACCTAGTTGTTGCCAGGTTACATTCAATCATCAGCAGATTTTCTGTATGTGTTGCTTAGCGATAATGTGCCATCCTTGAGTTTTGGGGACTGCTGTTAGGACAAGGAGATATGATTTATTTCTGTGATTGCTACTAAGCAATGCCTCCCTCTGAAGGACTGTTCTTACAGTTAGAAGGAAAGCTCTGCTTGCAAGGAGGTGTGCTGAAAAAGCTTACAGATACTTCAGATGGTGAAGACTTGTAAGGTGAGAATGAAATTTCTTACATTTAGAAGATGTCAAGTGCTTAGGTACTCTGAACTGGGACAGGCTCAGGTCAGCAGAGGGCACACACAAGGGCAGAAGGTCATCTTCTCACATGGTTGCATAGAAGCTGTTTCAACTATTTCAGGCTATTTGATTTTATCTGCATAATTTTTGCAAGGATTCAGTGCAGTGCTATATTTCAGAGAAGGGACATTAACTGAAACTGAAGTAATACCTGATTTAGGGTACTACTGAATATCAACTGAAACACTGTCTTGATTTTTAAATTAATTTTGATTATCGATTCCAATTGGAAATTTACTTTCAGCTTTCCTCTGTCTGGTTTGTCTCTATTAATTCTAAACTGACATGGCTGTTAGTATGGTGACTGGAACTATGCTGAGAACCCTTAGGTCATCTGCATGCCATACACAGAATGCTATGGGCAAAGTTTAGGAAAGGATACCTAGAAGAACAAGCAAGGAGTTCAGGAGGTGGGAAGGAGAGATTTTGCTCAGTGTGAGATCTCTTTTTGCCTCCTACATTACATTTTTCCCTTGGGGCTCCTCCTGCTTTATCTCACTGTGTAATTCATTCCAAGTACAAGCCATGCTTATAGAATTTGAATTTGGGGTTAATTTAGGCATCAGTGGCTTTCTTTTTTTTTTTTTTTCCCTGACATTTTTGAGTTCAGATTTTAATTCAGAAACTATTCAAAACATTAGGTTCTAGATTTTTGTGCCATCTTCAGCAATTATGGGTGTTCTTCATATTAGTGTTACACAAATATAATAACAGTTCACATTTCTTGTCTGTGGACAGTAATTTTCTGTCAATGGAATCAGTGGACCTGAAGGGCACAAATGCATTGTTTTAGAAGGGAAGAAAGTCATTATTACCAGTCTTTTGATTTGTTGTCTTACAGTGTCTGCAGAAAAAAAAAAAAAGCACGCGTATTTCCAAAGTACCCATGGCATGGCTCTGTGAACAAGAAAGCAGCAGAGCTGAGGTACTTGTGTCAGCGACCCCCACTCGTGGTCCTGATACTCTCCAATTCCTTTACCACAGCTACTCTGGTGTGAGGGCACACAACTTTTTCATGCAAGGCACATCTGAGCTGAAGGCATCAAAAGAACCATTTCATGCTTGACTGCATTTTCTAATACAATCCACACAGAGAGGAGAGAGAGCAAGGAGGGGTTTGTGTGTACATATGCATTGACTTTGAGTATATGTATAATGTACAGTACATTTGGTTCCAGCTTGCAGCTGTGGGTGGCAAGAAGGAGTTGCAGGCATGAGGGGGAATAGAATTGCACTTTGAAAAGTAGGAAACCCCCCCCACCTTGAAATAAAAATCTTTCTTTCCAGCTCGTTCCGACTGTTTCTTGGCCAAGTAAAGATGTGAGTCTCCTGGGCAACACTGACAGCTGATGCCCAGAAGGTGTATGTATGGCTGATTGGGTGTTGCATGTAAAGCACTTTGCGCATACAGACCATGACAGTGTGTGGGATTGCAGCTCAGAACGCTTGAGAATAAAGATGTTGTTCACAACCGTATTATTTTAATGGTGCTCATAGAGAAGTTTTCTTTTTAATGAGCTTGTATGTCCCATGACCAGCGGAGGTGCTGCATGATGTATATTAGTATGATGGGTTGCTGCGCCAGTGCTGCACCCAACCACAGTGATCCCCGTCAAATGTTTCATAACCATATAATTGTTTACCACTTATTTTGCATATTTATTACCACACTGCATCCCTATTTCTAGCCACTGTGGATCCTTTCCAGCATAGACTTGGAAGAATTTGATATGTTCTTTATTTTCCTGTCCAACTCTCTTACTCTAGCACCAAACATTTAGGTCTTGAGAGGACTATAAGAGTTAGCTCTAATAAGCTTATTGTTTTCTTCTAAAAGTTCCAGTCCCACCAGCATGAGGGGGTCAGCTGATGATGTGAAAAATGAAGATGTCTAAGAAGAACATCTATATTCCAAATATTTGTTGTTTCTGTTGGTACTGTGTTTTCTTTTCTTGTGTAGGTAGGGAGGCTGGTGAGAATGTGTCTAGGGAGTTTAAATCAGTCTTTTTTTTTCTACTTCTTGGATTTTTATTCAGAGCTTTGTTGTAAAAGTCCTACATGGAGTAATCTACTTATCTGCCTCTGGGAGGAAATGGTTCTGGGGAAAAGGGATGCTCTGATTCGTACATTAATATATTTATGCAGATTTGTAAATTTTGCTGGTAGAAGTGCTTTAGAGCATATGCACAGACTGAAACAATGATTGCCATGCCGTACTGGTTGCTGCACTTCTTTCACAAGACTTTACCCCTTCAAAGAAGACTTTCGGTTTTCACAGGCAAAGTCCTGAACAAATAGAGACCATTAAGCACTACACTCAATTTTCTTTGATATCTTCGGAGGGGACAGAAAAACGTAATATCATTCCTTTTTTCCCTCCCTCACTCCTGCCTTTTGTTCTGCCTTGATCTCCTGCCATTTCCAATGTTTGAATTACACTTAAACTTGATGTGGATCTTGATTTATTCTTTTCATCATTTGCATTGCACTGCCACCAGTTGTGACAGCAGAGTTCCAGAAAGATTGTTAGTAAGGAGGAAGAAGAGCTCCCTCAAAACAGTACAAATCTGGTGTGGGAAAAACTGTTAAGAAACCTGTTCATGCTTGCAGATATTTGTCTGCCAGATTACAACAGAACTCTGAAAAAAGATCAAATGATTACAAGTGAGATGGATCTATGAACTCAATATTAAATAGCATTTCCTATGACAAACGTTTCATTTTTGCACTCTACAACTTCCTGAAGGGAGGTTGTGGTGAAGAGGGGTTTGGCCTCTTCTCCCAGGCAATGAACAGGACCTGGGGAAATGGCCACAAGTTGTACTGGAGGAGGTTTAGGTTAGACATGAGGAAGAACTTTTTCTCTCAGGCAGTGGTCAGGCATTGGAATGGACTGCCAAGGGAGGTGGTGGCAGAGGCGCCTGGATGAGGAGCTACAAGAGATGGTTTAGTTTGTGGTAGCAATGGTAATGAGAAGATGGTTGGACTAGATGATCTTACAGGTCGTTTCCAACCTTGTGATTCTATAATTCTGTGATTCTATGATTATTCTTGAATAATATGTACCTGTAGAAGCTCTTCTTAGTCTAACTTAAATTTTGGAAACATACTTTCACTTTCCTGCTTTAGATGTTGTATGTTCCTTTTCATTGTGCTAGTTCTAATTGTGTTTTTTTTTTTCACTTCTCTAAAATAAATTCTGTCCGCTGGAGAACTTTATAGGTCCTGTATTAATGATAATTCATATTTGACGGCTAGGCTTGCTTAATTTGATAAATGAAATTCCACTTCCAGAAACAATGGAACAAATACAGACTTAATTCTCTCTTGTTTGTTTTGTATACTTCTTGTCTGATTTGCCTATTTAGGCCATGAGCAGCTTTCTAGATGCTACCATTGTCCAAGGTTTGCATGCAAGATTGATTGTTGAGGGACTGTGTTGCCACAGACTATAACTGTATATGGTTTCTCTTTTCCTTTAAAGTCCCAACAATGGAATGAAATTCCTCGCTGAATAAGCAACGACTTTTAAGAGCACCAGAAATAGAGACTGCATTTTCTAAGGCAAGACTGAATGCCCTAGGAGCAGTGTTTGAACTGTTCACTCCAGGAAGTGCTAGGATAGGCTGAACTAATGGAGAAGATTGCATTTTCTGGAAGATGTGAAAAATGGAGTCTGTCCTATCTCATTATCTCAAAAGGGCCCAAAGCTAACACACTTACCTTTATTTTTCCTGCTCATACTTTTTATGTAGAGTTGCCGGATGCAGCTGAACAGTAGCTCTGTTCTACCCAGAGTGATGTGCTGTTCCTGGAGTGTGTGGCAATTGTAAACACAGTGCTCTGTAGTAGATGTCTGGTTTCCTCAGGGGTGGAGATCATGTAGAAGTGTAACTTATTTTCATCTTTTTGAAATTATTTACTGATTCCTTACAGAGGCCTCTATCTTGAGCTATGATGGCAGCATGTACATGAAGATCATCATGCCCATGGTCATGCATACTGAGGCAGAAGATGTGTCCTTCCGTTTCATGTCCCAGCGTGCCTATGGGCTGTTGATGGCAACCACCTCACGAGATTCTGCTGACACTCTGCGTCTGGAGCTGGATGGAGGCCGTGTCAAACTAATGGTCAACTTAGGTATCGTATAAAAACCTCCCACTGCCTTCACTCTTAGTTTGGGCTTGTGGTTAGTGGTTTTTAAGATTATTTTGTTTAATTTCTGTTGGTTTGATTGGATTGGATTGATCACTAAAATAGCTGCTGAGACCTTCATAATTATATTCTATTGTGGAGGTATTGCTGCATGGAGATTTGCTGTTAGTTCTTTGTTATGAACAGTGTTGGTTTTAAAGTCTTAAGTTTTTAAGTTTCCTTTCTTGGTCTGGGACTGGTGAGCTCTGTGTGAGACATGCTGCTTGGTCCATCTTTTGATCAGTTACATCCCTCATTCATACAGCATCACTCAAAACAGTCAAAGCCAAATGTGAGAATTAAGCAAAATGGATACGGTGGCAAGCAGAAGTCTTGTGAATCCTAAACCTTTTACAGAATTTGACAGTGTTTGCTACAAATTGATCTTAAATATTCTATTTTGCTGAACTACAATTTATTTCTATTTCATAATTAGTTTATCTTTCAGCCTTTAGAGCTTTTAATATCTAGGAAAAAAGCCTGTATCTTTTGATAGTTTCTTTGTTAAAATAAAGGCAACAGTAATGAAAGTGCATCCCCCCATCCCAAAAGGTTGTTCTGTCTCCTTAGAGTCACAGAAAACAATAAAAGACCATTAGAAACAAATTCAACAATAATAACAATGAAAAATTTTGAGAGGCAACAAATGAGCTGTTTGATTATCCACTTTCTTACCAGTGAATGACAAGTAGCCTCCTTTTTAAAGAACATAAGCACAGGAAGTGAAGTTTACTTTCATTTGCACTGATGCAACTTGTTGATTCATGTCAATCCCACAATATAATTAAGAAGAGATTCTGGATCAAAAGGCAGAACTATCATGTATAATGATTATGGAAAATGTGAAGTCCAGGGTACTTTATGTTCATGGTCTGCAAAATCTTGCGCCAGTTTTCAAAATTCCAAACCCCACAGGAGCAAGCTTCCACATTATTTTGAGCTAACAACATTAGCATCATGAAAGTCCCACTATGCTGATATCAGGAGCAAACTGTGTAGTGATTTTGTAGAGTGCAGCAGTGTTTTTTTACCATACCTGTAGTAATGGCTCTTGTTTTTCAGCTCATATCCTAGGTAGATATTATAAATTTATCAAGGACTTTCTGTGCCCAGTTGAGCTTGAGTGATGATTTTAAGATTTCTTATCCTTACCTGGGAAATACGTTGTCCAGCAAGCGGCCAGCTTGTTTTAAAAACTTACATGTAGTTTTTTGGGTTTTTTTTGGTTTTTTTTGGTTGTTTTTTTTTTTTTTTTTTTTTTTTTTTGCTTTTTTTGCTTTTAATCTCCTATAAGACTGTAGCTTTTGGGTTAAGAGAATAAAGAAGAGAAGATGCATTTAAGCCAGTTCATATTTATTAGTAATAGTATCTGTCCAAAGGGTTATGGAAACTCATGTTATGAAAAGAAAATAAAATGAAAAAGGCAAAAGCAAACAAATGAAAGAAAACCTATGTGGTATGGTTTTGTTTGGAATACATATGCTTGCTCTTCTTAGCTCAATTGGAAAAGTTTAAATAGCCACTGAGTGTCCAGATAGCTTAGGAACAGATGTGTACTCAGCAAGTAGCGGGCAGAAGAAATAGGTCAGTTTCAACTATGATAGTAGTTTCTCAAACAGAGACAGCACTGACACTGCTCTCTCACTGTTTCAACTTATTGTAAGAGTGCTGAGACATTATGCAAAGAAGTGCTGCAAATCTAAGGTATTTTCCTTTAGTTGGGACTTTCTGCCTTCAAAACAGCAATGTTACCTTGCTGTTGGAGAAAGAGAGTTTAAGGAGGAGTGACCTTAACAGAGCCACTTACATTCTGTTGTTTATTGGAAGTCACACCTGACTCTTTAAGGAGACTGATTATAGCCAAAATGTTACAAATAAGAACCAAGTCTTCATCATTTGCTCCTGCCAAAATCCTCTTACTGGTGAGAAGTGTTAGGAACACCCTCTGAAACTGATCATGCTTGGTGCTGACTAGCTCCATGTCACCATCCTCCTGAGCCAATGACAACCAATGACATGCGTGTGTAAACAGAGACTGTTTTGAGTGGTGAATTATATAATTGTGCTTTTCTTATAAGTCATTTAAAACTATTACTAAGAATTGTCTCTTTCTTCTTCGATCTATTCCATTTGATTACTTGTTATCATTTGTGTGGTTATATAGGTCTTTCCTGTGTTGTTTTTTATTTTCTTTCTTTTTTAAAAAAAATTATTATTTTTTTAACTCCTCTATGTATTTCAGTTGTAAAGCTTTCCCATACCCCATCAGCCATAGTAAATCAAAAGATGGTATTCAACCCTTCAAAGGCCTGAAGCCTGCGGCCCGCACAGCAAACAGCCCTGAGAACAGAGTGTACAGAGCAGCCTGCAGTGGCTGGCATATCCCACCACCTCCTCAACACACAGTGTTGTCCTGGCTTCAGCCAGGGGGATACATTGTACAGCAGGCATGGGTGGGCATGGGGGCTTGCTGTAGAAGATAGGAGGGATAAGAGCAGTGGTGAGTAATTCTCTATGAAGGAGGAGTGAGGAAGTTGTTTCAGACCTTTCCCATGTCAGTCCCTGAGGCAGTCCAGTCTGCATGTTGACAGCAAGTTTCACAGTAGTTTGTTTGTTGTGTGAAGAAGTCCAAATATGATGCGGATCTCACTTCTGTTGATAAGGATTCTGAGGAAATGAGCGTACAGTGAAAGGAGTGAGAGAGAGAGAGAGAGATGAAGCAAATAATGGCTTGGAACATGCTTGGGAATCATTTCTGATGCTGGGATTTGCATAAAGGGAAAGAAATGGCTGGTCCAATAGAGAGATGCACCTTCACTTTGTTTTCCTCCCACTGGTGAATGGGAAGATTATAGTTTCACTGACTTTTGTTAAAGAATATTTCAGTTTTGTTTCTTCTTGCTAGGCTCAGCTTCAGGGCACTAGTGACTAGAATAAATTCTGCCTACAACCGGTTAATCTGAGTTCTCCTGTAAGTAAATGTGGCTATGCCTGTCTCCTACCTTTTCTCCTTAGGGTTTTCAAAGACATCTTTGTCTTTCCAAGATGTACAGATTTTTTATAATTCATATATAAAGACAGAGCATACATGTTTTCTGTTTTTCTTTTTTAAACGTGCTTGAACTTTTACACCAAATACACCAAACTTTTGTGCAGGTTGTGCATGCAGATGTGCAAATGCGTACCTAGACATGCTTTTTTTTTAATAATCAACCCATACGGTGACTTTTGATATATATATTTTTATTGTAATAGATGGGAAAAAAATGTCTGTCATCTTCCCACTAATGCTAACAGGTGGGTGCACAATCTGAGAAGTAAGAGAGACAAAGAGCTGCATTGTAGCATGGTGGAAGAGTGCACAGGGCCTCATCTGAGTTCCCCACAGGGGATAACCTAGAGTAAGCAGAAATTGTCAGGCCCTGATTATCTTGTTCTAGTCTTACTTTGAAGTGCTCTTCCATAACCACATGTGGATGCTCTTCAAAAGGAGCAAACATTTTATCCTCCCACAGCAAAGATGATCGATGGATTCAAGGAAAAAGACAGGCTGGGGCCTCAAAATTGCACATAATGTAAATATCAGCATTCTGTAGCACAAAGATACAGAACAGTGGTAAGAAACACAGATGCAATTACTGGAGACTTCATCAGTTCTGCTACTAATGCTATTCAAACAGTGAATCTTTAACATTAGTTAGCTGGAGTGAAGCTGTTTAACCTTTTTGCAAGGAGAGAGTCTTTTTCCCAGTTTCCTTGAGATGTGCTCTAGAAAATCTAACCTTGAAAGCAGCATCTGATTTACACTAGGAATAACAATTGAAGAAAGTAACTGTATAAGATCTTTTCAGGTCATCCTGCTCCCCATGTCCTTACAAAAATGAAGTTACTTTATGATTGTCCTCTAAACACCTCATTCAGTGGTAGGACTGGCTGCTTACTGGATTTGGAGCTGTTTAAGCACACTCATCTTTGAAGTCCAAAGAAAAGGAAACCTTTTTTTTTAAGTCAGGAATACAACCATACCTCAACAAAGTAAATCACATCAGCAGAAGCTGATAACAATACTGAGAGCCATAGATGATAATTATCAAAAGTCTTACTGCACTGCTGGAGGACTCTCGAGCAGTCCTCTTAATTGTTCCTCAATTCTGCAGCTGCTGAGCGTGAACCCTGCCCCTTACTGTCAGGGAAAGCACCCTTAGCTTTGGCTTTTGAAGTGTTTTACTGGTTTAGAGGAAACCAAGTATTTCCTTCATTTCTAAAAACTGATGTAAGAAGGAAAAAACAGTTTCATGTATTAATGATTGTAACTTTGTTATTGCTTTGGGCAAGGATCAGGATTAAGGAAATGGAAAATATTGTGCTTGTTCTTTCAGTGTAGCATGTTTGGCTTTTAATGCCTCTCTTTTCAGTGACTGACTTGAGATTCATTTTAGTTCATTTTCATCCAGAACTTCTGGGCAACTGCAGCTTCCATAGCTTGCCTGACAGCAATAGATAATGTCTTTCTCTACAAAGTACTTTCAATTCTTGAAGGCTTGTTAACCAGATGGCTCCCTAGATATTCTAGTTTCTTCTCTTCTGGCAATTGCCATGGTATTGGAATACAGCAATATTGCTAACTTCCATTAGTAAAGTGGAAAAGGCATTGGACCTTAGAGTACATCTACTTGGTGTAAAAAAGTGCTTTGTAGAGATAAGCAGTGTGGTGGACTGAGAGTCTTTGTGGCAGAGTGCGTCAGTGTTAGCCCAGGTGCAGGAGAGTGTGGCAGTGCTGGTGTAGTACCACAGGCAGATGTAGGAGCTTAGCTGCCAAGCAAGATTCTGCTCACCTAGCTGGACCAAGGCTGGTTCAGGAATTGATTCTTCTGGAGCAAGCTCAGGTGTTTTTTCCTGGCACTTTATTTTGAGTCTGGTGATCAGATAGTACCCTAATAGTTGTCAGGGCCTCAGTGGCCTGGTCTCATTATCCTTTGAAATTGAAATCTACCAGTCAGGATAAGGGCTACACTGAAAATCAGTGTAAGACATCAGTCCCTTCAATCCCTTCACTCAGAGCAGACAGTGACTTAGGAGACAGTTCTAGGGCATGTAGTTGTTTCAGTATTGCTTAAAAAAAAAAAAAAAAAAAAAAAAAAAAAAAAAAAAAGAGCAAAACTTCTCTGCAGAGATCAGAACGACAACAGTGGTTTTAGTTTCTGAATTCAATGAATGTTGCTGAGGACCAGCCGTGTTTCCCTTTACGGCACACTTAACTGTTCAGCCCATAAATAATTTCCCGTTCTAGCTGTATCTGCCGTGACGCATTCACTTGCAGTGAGGTTCTGAAGTCTCTCTCACTCACTCTCTTTCAGGTTGTAGAGGCAAGGGTAGCTGATTTCCCAGCATATATGTAAGAGCTCCCATTAACCCATCTAGCTGCTATATGGGATATAGCCACCTCTGTATGGTGATTGTACCAATTGCTCCAAGGCTGTTTGCTCCCACTTTTCTGTTGCGGTTGACGACACATGACAAACCTAATCGCACAAAACCAAACCCAGATTTTCTCAAGGGAAGTTCTGGTTGAAAACAGATGCTTTATGGCTATGCTGTTCCTGATTGGTATACCCCTAACTTGTTATGACTCTTTATTTATAGATCCTTACTCTTTCTCATCTTCTGAGATCGCATGAAGCTGAAATAAGCTTGCATAAGCTGCTGAAATATTCTTATAATAATTGTCTGAGTAAACACAGAATTGGCCCAGTTAAGCAGCAAACTGCTTTGTATTTCTCTGCCATTCTCTATAGTCACTCTGGGCCATATCTCTGTAATACATACAACCATCTTTGCTGGTAAAACCTCGGTAACCTGGGTTTCTAGTAGCATGGTGCTGTTATTTCTGGCCTGATTTCCCAAGAGAAGGTCAGCATCACTCAAAATATGCAATAGCACCGATACAATAGCTTTCAACCATATTGGACACCACAGTAGAAGTTGTTCACAAGGCTGTAAGTAGGCATTTATAAATGTAGGATACTATGGGTCATATCTTGAGATATGCTGAGCATTAATGTGTAAAATTAAAGAAGCGATGCTCAGAAAACCTCTAGCTCAGGTTCCCCCACCTCCAGTCATTTTTCTTGTGCAGATTTCAGTTACTATTTATTAGGCTCTACAACCATAACTCTATTTTAATTTCCATGTACCCCTTCTTCCTCCCTTGTCCATAATCTCTGAATGAAACAGGGCAAGCAAAGATTCACAGATCTGCCACTCCACTGCCCATTTCATCTTCTCCCTGAACGTTATGAACATTGCTTTCAATCTTAGCATTCAGGCAGCAAGGTGAGGTTGGGCTTTGAGGAACTGGCAGGGCTGGGAACCTTTGAAAGAATTCCTCACGTCCCCCACCAAGTAGGAAAAAAATAAAAATAAAAGTATAAATAAAAAAAATAGTATTCCCAATCTCCAGAACTAGCTGAAATCTGGGCTGGGCGTTCGTGCGGTTAGCTGTTTGCAAGTGGCCATTTTATGACAGGACACAACTGGGCAGTATATTAACCCTTTCCTCACCTGAATGGACAGTGTTAAATGTGCCTGTGCACATACGAAAAAGTGTTCTGGGCTGGCACGAGGGGACATGAGTAGAGGGTCTGTCTTTGGGAGAGCTGGAAAGGGTTAAATATTGCACCAACAAATCTCATAGGCTGATTCTACAGGTATTCTGTGTTGGACAGATGGTGTATTTATGCAATAACAATACAAACTAATTCAAAAGAATCCAAGTGTAAAGGTTGATTTTAAACTTCAAGCTTCGTAGAGAAATTGCTAAAGGTTTTTAAAAAGAGAAATTACACTGGAGTATGATTTGCATTTTAAGAGAGATTTTTTTGTGCTTAATTGTCAATTTTTTTTCTTGTAATTCACATCAGTTTTCATGGTCTGGAGTAGAAGATACTCTTAGATGCATAGTCTTCTATAAAAATAAATTGTTAAGTGTGGATATATATGTATATTGGTATATCTCTTTATACATATGTGTGTATATATATGTTTACGTATATATATATATTTATGTAACAAATATTTATGTAGAATATACTGTACATATACATCCACTTCTGAACTTGTACAGACCGTATATAAATATAAAATGGCCACATCTCTTTGCGTGTGTCTGTCCCCGGAAGGGTGGACTTGATTGTTTTTGGATGTCTGCAGCTGTTACCTTGAAGGATGCAATTTCATCTTTCATTTATTTTTCCCCATCTAGACTGTATCAGGATAAACTGTAACGCCAGTAAGTTTTCCCTCAAGTTTCATTTTGTTCTCTTTATATATATATTAAAATAACTTTATTTTCTTTGTGGTTTTATAAGCTGTTTTTCTTTTCTTTTCTTTTTCTTGCTTCTTTTTTTAAAAAAAAGTCTTCTGAAATTGAGGGGTTGGGTAGAATATGAAGCTGTGGGGAGGAGGGAAGACTTTACGGTGATTATACATGAAAATTTTGTGTTAGATCTCTCCAAGGAGGAGGTGAACTGTTATTTATTTCATAGCTTTGCAGAAGAACACCTGAAGAACCTGATGAGCTGATGTTATTTTTCACTGGTAACCTGTTGTCTTTATGAAAACTTTTTAAAGAGTCACATAAGCGTAACAACAGGTACTGTATGCACTTCTCCACTACAAAATGTCATGCATATTTAAAAACAAACATAAAAACATAATATTAAAAGACCATATCCAGTTTTATACTGTGATTGTACGAACAGTGTTTGCTTCAAATAATTGTTTGGTGTTGTTGTAGGCCTTGAACTAGCGTGTTTTTCTCACAGAATAGAGCTTGCAGAGAAGTGCAAAGAGCACTGGTGAAGAGCCTAGAAAACTAGATTTATGAAAAGTAGCTGAGGGAATAGGAGTTGTTTATTTTGGAGAGCAAGAAGCTGAGGGGAGCCCTCATCTACAACTACCTGAAAGCAGCTGAAGTAAGATGGGTCTCTTCTCTCAGGTGATAAGTGGTAGAACGCAAGGAAATGGGTGTCATACCAAGCAAAGTTGAGATTTGACATTAGGAAGAATTTGTTCATGGAGAGGGTGGTCAAGCATTGGAATGGGCTGCCCAGAAGAGTGTGTGGAGTCCCGTCCCTCGAGGTTTTTAAGAGACATGTGGACATGGCACTAAGGGACGTGTGTTGGGATGCAACAGGTCAGATTAATTGTTGGTCTTGAAAGTCTCTTCCAGCCTAGGTGATCTGATGAGTTGATGTGGGTTTTTTTTCAGACACTGTGGTCTTTTTGTTTACCTGTCCAAGCTACTAGAAAAATGGAAAGAAGTGTGTTGGAGCTCTAAAGGCAGAGCTTTCAAGTAGAAGTGGAGTACTACGCTACAAGGACAGTTGTAGCAGCACTGAGAGAACATTTTTGCAGAGCAGTTTCTTAACATATATTGTAACATTGTGTATTGTTAACAGGCAGCAATTTTTTTTATTTTTTATTTCCCCCCCCCCCGTTCCATTTTGCTTTCCAAACCTGAAACATTATAGTTGTGGATTAGAGATCAGTTTTCCCTCCTGGTCATTTCCAGCTGGTTCAGATCCTACTTTTCAGGAAAGTGGAAGCTATTAGTTTCTTGGTCTTGGGAGATGGAGCCTGAAGTCAGAGACTGGTGATAAAGCGTTGACTGATTTGTGATTATTTTGGTTGTAAGACCTGATGTGCTACAAGAACATGAGCATGTGTTCATGGCTTTGAAAACTGCATCCTTTTGTCCTATTGCAGTAGGAATAGTCCAGTATGACTCAAAGCTTGTCTGCTCTTGTTGATTTCCTTTTGCACTTCTAAATTCAAACACTGTGTTTCAAGATGGAGTTGTCAATAGGAGAAAGCATGTTAAATCTCTATTGAGATTGTCAGATTTCACCCAGCAATGACAGAAGGTACTTGCATAAAAAATAGAATATTTTTTGTGTGCTCTTGATGCTTAGCTTCCCGTAAATCTATCGAGAAACTTTTGCCATACTTCTTGTTTCTCTGTGTCGTTTGAGCATCCATATCAGTTGCTCTGGTATCATCTGATGCTTTTGCCATCATCTTCTACTTTTAATGATAGTTTGCTGTTAAAGTTTCGTCTATAGAAGACTGTTTTCAGGCAGGAAAATCGCTTTAGTAACAAGGGGCAAAGGTCTGGTTTTCATGCAAAGCAAAACATAGCAGTAATTGGAATGAAAATATGTATTAAAAAATAAGAGAGAGAATCCTATTATCAGATCACTGGGAAAACAGTCTGAATCTAATATTTTTGTTAGTTTCCCTATAAGCATCAAAGCACTTGAATCATTTTGCTTCCTTGCATTTTTAATACTTGAGGCTGCTGCATTTCAGTCTTCCTCTGAAGGTTGATGATTATTTATTTATTTAAAAACACTTTGTATTTTCCTAATTTATTTTTTATGACGCCTCACTTAAAATGAACAGCCCCTCTCCTATTCCCTCCAACACCTTGTTTCCTTGCTGTGTGTTGTGGTGACTCAGATCATCTGCTCTGCTTTCTGGAAGGAAACCTTCTGGGACTTGATTGATGGAAAATAGTAAATCCATGAATAAAATATGGTTAGGCAAGAATATAACACTGTAGCCATTCTTGTAGGGACACTGACTTGTGTTTGGCACATTTACTTGTGCAGAGGGAATTATCATCATGCAGATAGGTTTGCCCAGGTCTGTTGAAATAGGTAGAAGTGTTTTAAATTGACTTGATGAATAGGATTACCAATTAGTTGAAGAAGTTCAGGCCAAGCAGTCACCATTGCTAACTGAATGTAAGGATCTGATTCCTGGTTTTAAAACAAAGCTGCACTTTCGGGATCTCACAGCATTTGCTAGCTTACTGCCAGGAACACAGCAGACACTGAAGCTCATGCTATTTGGGAAGAATCCAATATATTCTGTCAGGTAAGCATTTAGTTTTCAATATATATTTGCTCTTAATTTTCATTGGAAAGAGTAAGAGATTTTTGTTTGCATATCTTGGCATATCATGTATTTGATGTCAGATACTGTTTTTTATAATTTAATTTCTTCTTATCCTGGCTTTGTTTTTCATCACTGTCATATCTCACAGTTCTGTAATGGGAGACTGACACTGTGTCCAAAAAAAAGAAACAGTTTTTACTTTCTCTGAATTTATTTTAGTGCTCATTTCATTCCCTCCCTTCACTCATGTAGTTTCCTATGCTGATCTTGTCTGTTTCTGCATGCTGACAGAGTTTGACTTTAGAGGGACACAACAGTGCATTTGCTTACACAGATGTAACTGGACAGTAACTTTCTTTTCCTCTTAGTGTAAAATCAGCATAACCAAATATAGGATCAGTGTCCCAGAATAGGCTGTGAAGATGCACTGAATGGCTCTTCAGTGTAGTGCAGACATAATGGAATGTAACATTTTATTTGCTGAATTTATGGGAAAAATAAGCATAGATTAAATACCCTGTACTTTTGCATACATATACTTTTTTTTTTAATAGGACTTCCCAAAGAATAGTTACTCTTTAATCCACCTCCTGTAAGCTAGTTCTTGAAATATGAGGGTTGCTCTGAAAGAAATTTATTCTGATTTATTATTTTATTATGTTGGCCCATGACATCAGAGGCAGTTGTTGGCTTTATGGCGGTAGAAGTTGAACCTTCTCCCCAGTGTCCCATTACATGTTGTTGTATGACAAATGGCAGTAGAGGGGCAGCCTGACAAAATAGTGCCTGACATGGAAACAGGTATGAAACAGATGTCTGTCATGGAATTTCCCCACCCGAAACAAAATGACACTCACTGACATTCATCAATGCTTGCTGAATATTTATGGAGACTAAGCAGTGGATGTGAGCACAATGAGGTGATTGGTGGTGCATTTCAGCAGTGGTGATGGGGATAAGAAAGACAAGCCGTGTTCTAGACCGCGATTCAGATTTTTATGAGTGTGGCATGCGGTCTCTTGTTCATCACTGGCAAGAATGCACAGCTAATGGTGGTGACTCTGTTGAGGAGTTGTGTTTTGTAGCTGAGCATTTGCTCTATCAAACAGATCTGTGCTATTTGTATCTGTTGTGTTTTCCATGAAAAGAAATAGGAGATATTACTTTAGGAGCAACCTATGCATATAACTCAAAGAAAGTTAAGGTGGTTGTGGTGGTTTTATACTTTGTGCCATGCTATCTGGTAGTCTCACTTTTCATCAGATTTTTGATGATACTAATTTACTTTATTCTCTTTCTCAGTGACAAACTCTTGCTTCATGTCAGTCCAGAAGGGATAGTTTTCAGAATTTTTCTAAAAATTAAGTACAAGGGCTGTGTATGCTACAAATTCACTAGCTCTGGAAGATGTCTTTAGTTCACATTGTTTCTAGTATAATCTTTGTATCCTTTCTCTTGATTCAGTTCTCTCTACTTCTTCCAAAACTTTTATGTGGCGTGATGTTAGTCACAGTCACATAGTTCGACACTGCCTTTATGGGAGATTCGCTCTTCCAAAAGCAGCAGCTTTCGAGACAGCTTTCGAGTCTGTCTTCTTGCTTGTTATTTCATAATGAGGCCTTTTCTTCTCAGTAAGGAAGCCCGCCATACAAGCCATTACCTATTTTCATGTGCCTCATGAAACCTCAGAAAATCCTGGTTCTCTTTTCTTAGCTATTGCTAAAAGCAAAAATGGAAGAGGGTGAAAAATCATAGTCCCATCACTGCTAGCTGATTCTGTGTCTGTATGAGGTCCCTAAGAACACTGTTTCAGATCCAATCAATTTTGGAATGATCTTTAACAATAGAAGACAGCTTGTTCTTCCTTTTTAGTTGCTGTGCTTACTGTATTTAGATCCTTAATGCAATGTTAATGTTTCATTTAAATAAGTGCTACTGTAATAGCATAAAATATGGACCTAAAGTGAGGAACTTTCTGGGAGAGGTTTAAAGGTTTTTTCTTTTTATTTTTTTTCCATCATCACAAATAAATAAGAAGCCATACTAACTCTAATCTAATCAAAATGTTATAGAAACAAGTGCATTTATCTGATTCATAGGGATGTTGCTGTCATTTTAATAAAAGCTTAATAGTGCTCTAACATGAAAACATTATTTGGAAAGTGAAGAGGTGTGATTAAGCGTACACGTCAGATTTGTGACTCTAGTATCTACTAATGCCATTTAAATGTTATCAGGAAGAAATAAGTCAGCCTGAAAAGTGACAAGCCATTAGTATGTCATATTGTAGTAGTGAAAGCAAATGTGGTGTCTGTCGCACCTGTTACA